TCGTTTCGCAAAATAGTACAATTTCGTTTCGTTTCGTTTCGTTTCGCAAAATAGTATAAGCCCTTTTTCTCACCTCTCATACTTTGAAGTTTCATGAGTAGCTCTTCTAGTTCTTCTTCAGAGGGAGGCAAGATGCCTAAAAGCAAAGGTATATGAAAAGAGAGATAAACATTCACTAACTTTTCTACAGATAAAGAGTTAGAAAGTGGCACACCAACTTGTAATTATGGATTGATTGCCTTTATGAACTATTGAACCAAAACAGCTGTTCAAAACATCAATTTGATATACAAGTATGTTGTTTTATTTCCACAAGTGAACTCAAAAAGAGAATGAAGCACAATCACATTTGGAATCATTTACAATGAAAAGTATTATCTGACTCTGCATAATTGCTAAAGAGTATTCTTGATTGACAAAAATAACACTTACATTAAATTTTTTATAACCAACTAAACCTTAGCTTCAGAGTCCTTTTTCACTCACGTTTCTCTTTCTGAAGTGTAAAAGTCTTCCGTCTTCCTTCCAATTCTTTTTCATGACCAGCAGTGGACAGTACGGAGGAGAGTGAAGTACACAAGGGTAAACGTACAAAAAGCAATATAATTAGTATTCATGGTGTTACAATCAAAGAGAGATGACTTAACATGGCAGACTGACATGCGACTATCCGTAAAAAGAGTATGAAATTTATCTAAAATACATCAATGGCAGTTTTTCAATACATAACATACAAGGTAAAAAAAAAAAAAACCAGTCCTTTTATTTTACATGTGAGGTAAAGCTAAGTTCAGTTTTCTTACTTTTTAAAGTAATCTTTTGCATAAAAACTGAGAGCATCTCATGATCAAGGTATTCTTTGTTTTGTTCTATCCTGAAAGCTAAGTAAACAGCATAATTTTTCATTCACCTTCCAATATTCCTTGAAGTGTCAAACGTAGCTCTGATAATTCTTCCTCAGGATCAGAGGCAGAGAATTCAGGGACAGGCCAGGCGCCTAAGCACAAAGGTACACAGAGAGAGATTAGCATTCAGTGACTTTGCCGTGGAAAAAGTCACCACAAGACATACCAATGTGAATATTGAGATAGATGGATACTTAGGCTTTGTTTAAAACTGCAAAAAAATTAATAGATGAAAGCTTGTGGGTTCGTTTGTGCTAAAACTTTCAAGTCTAAAATCCTATAAAAAAAAAATAGGAAATATACAGTTGTAACAATTAAATTAACCCCTTTGTTCCCAAGATCTCATTTCATTAGTAAATTCAATTCTTTTTATAAAGGCTGATGGTTTAGAAAGAAACTGTTTGAGGCTGCGTCGGTGGGAGTAACAAAATAATTTGGATATATCAACAAAGTTGAAATGGTAAATTGGCCACCGTAACGATTACAAAAGCTGACGTTTTGAGCGTTAGCCCTTTGTTGGAGCGAATAGAGGAATTGTGGGTTGTGTGTGCTTTTAAAGGCAGAAAATGGAGCTACGTTATTGGTGGGAACATGGCAACGAGAAAAACAAGAATAAATTAGTGGAATGAAAAGCGTTCGTTGATCCCTGTGGGATTTAGACTGCCGGTTTGAAAGATGAGCTTTTGTTCAAGATTTTTACGGCTTTCCGTGCTACCTAAGTGTAAGGAAAGACCGCAGATTGCCATATGTTGCTTAGAATGATTAGGTAAATTAAAATGTCTAGCGACTGGTTTCGATGTGTCCTTGTCATTCCTTTCCACGTCTCGAAGGTGTTCTCGGAATCGGTCACCTAGTCTTCTGCCTGTTTCGCCGATGTATATCTTTTTGCAATAAGTGCAAGTTATGCAATAGATTACATTGGCGGAGGTGCACGTGAAGTGATCGGTGATCTTAATGGATCGTTTAGGTCCCGATATTTTATCAGTGTTGTGAATGAAAGGACACGTTTTGCATCGTGCACGAGCGCATTTAAAAGTGCCTGGTTGGTCATTAGTCTGAAAAGAACTTCTGACCAAAAAATTGCCTATGTTTTTGTCGCGTTTGAATGAAATGAGCGGAGGCTGCGAAAAGATAGTGCTTGTCTCTGGATCGTTTTGAAGTAATTTAAAGTTTTTAAGAATGATGGATTTAACTGAGTGGTTGTGAGGGTGAAACGTGAGAGTGAATGGAATGCGGTCGGAATCTTCCTTATGCGACGTTTGTNAGGAAAGGACAGAGAGAGGAAAACTAAATTGGGTTTAATTTCCTTTCAAACAAAATATTTGAGAAGTCAAAGTATTTCAAAGCAGTCTTAGTTCAGTTTTACCATGAAGGTTAATTTAACAGTATCTTTTGCTCACCTTTCATACCTTGAAGTTTCATGAGTAGCTCTTCTAGTTCTTCTTCAGAGGGAGGCAAGATGCCTAAAAGCAAAGGTATATGAAAAGAGAGATAAACATTCACTGACTTTTCTACAGATAAAGAGTTAGAAAGTGGCACACCAACTTGTATTTATGGATAGATTGCCTTTATGAACTATTAAACCAAAACAGCTGTTCAAAACATCAATTTGATATACAAGTGTGTTGTTTTATTTCCACAAGCAAACTCAAAAAGAGAATGAAGCACAATCACATTTGGAATAATTTACAATGAAAAGTATTATCTGACTCTGCATAATTGCTGAAGAGCATTCTTGATTGACAAAAATAATACTTACATTAAATTTTTTATAACCAACTAAACCTTAGCTTCAGATTCCTTTTTCACTCACGTTTCTCTTCCTGAAGTGTAAAAGTCTGCAGTCTTCCTTCCAATTCTTTTTCATGACCAGCAGTGGACAGAACGGAGGAGAGTGAAGTACACTCACGTATCTCTTTCCGACCTCTAAAAGTCTTCAGTCTTCCTTCCAATTCTTTTTCATGACCAGCAGTGGACAGTACGGAGGAGAGTGAAGTACACAGGGGTAAACGTACAAAAAGCAATATAATTAGTATTCATGGTGTTACAATCAAAGAGAGATGACTTAACATGGCAGACTGACATGTAACTATCCGTAAAAAGAGTATGAAATTTATCTAAAATACATCAATGGCAGTTTTTCAATACATCACATACAAGGTAAAAAAAAAAAAAAACCAGTCCTTTTATTTTACAGTTACAACATCCCCAGCCAATACCATCTTAATATTCCCTAGTACCAAAGAACAGAATGAGGGACAACTTTCACGGGTTTATTACGAATCAACTTAACGGCCTGCTCCCAGTTGGCTTGTTAGCTCAATTGGTAGAGCGCTGTACTAGTATCACAGAGGTCAGTGGTTTGAATCCCGTACAGACCTGATTTTTTTCAGGTCTGATTTTCGCTATTGCTTAAATAGCGCTGTCTACTGCGAGGATCGTGCATCATATGTACCTAATACCGCAGTACAAAATATATGAACTTCATATATTTCATTGTATCTCATGTCGCTATCTGTACAAAGAGTATGAATTTTATCAAAAAATAATACATCAATGTCAGTTTTGCAATACATAACTTCTGAGGTTAAAAAAACAGTCCTTATATTATACTATTTCAACATTCCTATAGCCACTACCATCTTACCATTCCCTAGTGCCAAAGAACAGAATGAGGGACAACCAAATGGGTTTTAATTCTTTTGAATTAATCCTTTTAATGAAAACTGATAGCTAGTAATTCAAAGCTTTGTCAGTTTAGTTTAACAGCATCTTTCATTCACCTGGGTCATCATCACAATCAGAGCTGGAAGATAGAGGGAAAGGCAAGATGCCTCAAAACAAACATATACAGGGATTAAGACAAGCATTCACGGACATTTGGACAGATTTAGCTAAGGTACACCAACTTGTAGATCACTTTTCTTTTGCTGAAGTTTCATAGTTTCACTCCTACTGCTTTTTTGGCCAATTTACACACCTATGAACTCTTTCACTCCTTCATAACCAGTGCCTAAAAACAAAAAGGAGGATTTGTCATTGGGTATTCGTTTACTGTGAGCACATGAGGGGATTTCTCAGTTTAAATAGATTGTTTCCATGTGATATCATCAAATTCCAAAATTTCAAACTAAAGAACTACAAAAATTTGTATTCTCATTAGGCATAAGGGTTTAAATTCATATCTTTTTTCAACTTTTCAGCTCAATAGAGCTCTGATCATGTCTCTCGAAATATATACCATTACTAATAATTTTTAGCCTTTTTAGAAGTTTAAGTGTTAGGAAAAGTGCCTGTGTTAATGTTTGTTGGCTCAGTTCAGATAATCAGTCAACTAGATAGCCAAAGTAAGTTCCAGATGTTCACATTATTTTTCGGCTGCCATATTGGTGCACCAAAGAGGTGCACCAACATAGCAGCATAGTAAAACTAAGAGGCCAACCAATATTATGGAAACAAATCATTTTTACATGTAGCATAATGTCACTAACACACAGTCAATATGAATAACAAGCTTTAAATTGAGTCATTTACTTTTCACTTTCTCTGACTCCACAACCTCTGTCTTCTGTTTCCTTCTTTCTAATTGTGCTTTACTTTCAGTACTTGTGAAGTATGACTGAGCTGACAAAGCCTCTAGAATATAATTTGAAAGAAAAAAATGATATGAGTTTATACCCACTCACTCAAACTGCATTTTCCGCAGATCGTATTATTCTGGAGCAGATAACCAACATTCATAATCAAGTTTATCAACCAAAACTACGTACGGCTGACTTATCTCATTTGCTTGTTGATTATTTTCATATTAATTTTAAATTTAAATTCAATATAAAATATAACATGACCAAAGGAAGAAATTAAAGCACTATTTCAAGCACTAATTACGAGCAGGTTAGTGGCATTGAGTTTTTTCTTTTACACAAACAGACAAACAAACAAATTAAGAAAAAAAGAAAGTTCGACCAACTCTAAACCAAAATTTAGATACTGAAAACAAATCACTTCTAGCAAGACTTAAACAATCAGCAGACAAACTTTTTCAATTAGACAACATGTTCTGTCTTGATAGAAAACTAGACCAATTCTTCATTTTGTAACGGTTTTAGAACCCATTCCATGCTGTAAGAGAGATACTTCATATTCAAATATTTTTTTGAGATGATCTGGTCTTGTACAGTACTAACCTCTGAGTGCAACTTTCTCAAAGTACATTTTACATGCATTGTACTCTTCTATGTCCACTGTTGTTTTCAGTCTCAGCTCTGCCAGGTTCAGTTCCTTTAAGATCTTTTCAGTGACAAAACAGTTTTGAACCACTTCACCAAGATGACCAGATGAATAGTCTTTCCACAATTCCTCCAAGATCTGGAGAGATTCACACTTCACTGTTATCACCAAACTACCTTCATAAAAACTTTTCATGATGAGTTTCATTTCTTTTAAATATTCCTTAAAATCCTTGCGTTCATCAGCAGACTGGGGTGGTGTAGTCTCAAGGTAGTTTATGATAATTAAAGAAAGAGCCTTTTTTTCAAGTGCTTGGATATCTTCCTTTCCTGTATTAGACACCCCTTCCATTGTGGTTGGTGCAACAGATGCCCTTTGGTACTCGGCCTTTCGGAATGTTGAAGTTGTGGCCTGATTGATGGATTCAGCTGGTTTCAGGTCTTCCACGTCAGTAGTAATATTTAGCTCAGCATCTGCTGATTTGTAACAAGAAGTAAAAATTATACATGTAATGATCTCCCAATTCAACATTTTGTGTACCACATACTGTTGCTAAATGTACTAATTATCCAACTGCCATAATTCCCACAACAATTAAGGTGTAATGATAATGATATAGGGTTCACTAATAATGTAAATAAAAAGTATAAGATAAACCGTATAATTTGCTGAAGTGAAATTGAATTTCCTAGTTTTGCTTACTTTTCAAAGTAAACCCAATTCATGGCACATAATCAGAATTTCAGTGCTCCTAATTGAAAATAAACAAAACTGATATTGTAAGATTCTACAGTGATGTTCAGGTTTAGAATTACCTAAAACAGTGGTTTTTAGAAAAAAAAAGCTCTATATATTTTGTTCTTCAGGTTTCAAGTCTAATCCACTTTAACCTTAACATTCAATACACAAACTCGTGGCTCAACACCAACAGTAACCCACTAGCCACAGACTAGAAGGAATTCAGTTTTGGCTTGTGGTTTTCAATTTCCACCATCCAGTTTGGCTGGTAAACAAACTGTCAAATTGTCATAATATATCTAAGATAAATATCACTTAGCCACTTGGCTAGTAAGTTGAAAAGTTAGTCTAGTAAGTTAGTAAGTTAGCTAGTAAGTTGAAAAGTTAGTCAAGCCCTGAATCTGTTTAATTGTAACGGCGAAATTTAATCCTAATTTTACAAGATTTTTCACCACTCACCTATTAAACAATTAAAACAAGAACACATTACCTTGATGTAATACCAATCAATCATAGAGCTTGTTACCACTGAATAAGTACTGACATTTTGATAAAATGAAAATCATTACCACATAATGCTTGTTCCAGGGGCTCTTCTGCACTTAACTTGAAATCGACTCACTGCCCCTGGGTCTCCGAGGATGAAATAACACCGGACAATGATTTTATTCAAGGCTTTACAAAGGCACGCAGAAGTAAATCAAATCCGTTAGAACACGGAGCAAGAAAAAGTAAATGCGATTATGCGCTTCCATTAACGTGAAATCGGTCGTTTTAAGACTGAAATAAAGAGAAGAAAGCGACCCGCAACAGCTACAACACTGAACCTNAGATTACATTGGCGGAGGTGCATGTGAAGTGATCAGTGATCAGTGAAGCACACACAACCCACAATTCCTATACTCGCTTTGATGAAGGGCTAACACTCGAAACATCAGCTTTTGTAATCGTTACGGTGGCCAATTTAATTACCATTTCAACTTTGTTGATATATCCAAATTATTCAATTCTTTTTACTTTCAGAGCATTCTTGCCTGATAAAAATTCCAGTTACATTTAATTGACCATGACCAACTAACTTCAGAGTCCTTTTTCACTCACGTTTCTCTTCCTGAAGTGTCATAGTTTTCAGTTTTCCTTCCAGTTCTTTTCCATGACCAGCAGTGGACAGTTTTGTGGAGAGTGAAGTACCTAAGGGAAAAGGTACATAGAGCAATATTAGTATTTATGGTATTACTTTTAATAGAGAGATCATAACATGGCAGACCAACATGTGACTTCTAAAAAGTGTATGACAATTTATGATCAAGCAAGTCTAGCTTTACACTTGGTATAATAACTGAAGATACAAATATATTCACTTCAAATAATTATTAATTCAAACAAATTTTCCTGTGCACCTATCTTTCTTGTAGCTCTTCCTTCTTTCCTTCTTAGTTCTTTTCTTTTTCCAGTGGTGCTTATTACAGTGACGGGTGGAGTACCTAAGGGGAATATAAGGGGAATGACCACAGAGAGATTACAGTATCATTCACAGCCTCTATTCAACTGTGTTGTTTCCCACAAGTTGTAATGTTAAGATTTGTCAAGATTTCACAAGTTGTACTATTTAGATTTAACAAGATTTGTCCCATAATTCGTATTATTGTTAACAACAACTTTTCGTAATAACTTGATACATTTTTCAATTTGTTTTCACCTTTAATTTCCTCTGTCTCCTCAATCTTTGTTTTCTGTTTCCATTTTTTCAGCTCTTCTTGTTTTTGTGCAGTTTCACTGGTTGAACTTATGCTGTGGAATTCTGAGGATAAAGCACCTAACAGCAAATTATAAGAAAACAAATGAAGCAATTAATCACTGAATAATGACATTATTACACTAAAGTCTATGAAACACACCTCAAATCATTTTTATAAAAAATCCACACACAAAAACTGGTGACAGTTTCTTTCAAAGCTCTTTCAACAAAGATCCTACCGATTGATATTTTATTATTTACTCGATATTATTTATTGATACTATTTATCATGACAGTTTATCTTAATTCATTTATAAATAGAGCAAAGATGAATACAACCAGACAGAAAAGGAAAACATAGGAAACGAGAGCAGGTTAATGGGGACAGGATGTTTGAAAAGAACAAATTAAAACATGAAAAAAATGTTTTGTAAACAAATCACTTCTTGACTAGTATTTATTTTGTAATCGATGGCTCTCACAGTCAGTATGAGCTTACTTGAAAGATAGTTAATTCTATCAAAAACTGCACCCCCCCCCTACATTTGTGTAAACCCTATGATACACCATGTTGAAAGATGGACTGTGTTTGCAATATTTTTAAACATTTTTTCAAAGGACCCAGCCTTGTTTCTTTCTTTTTACTGACCTCTGAGTGCATCCTTCTCAAAGTACACTTTGCATGCATTGTACTCTTCCATGTCCATTAATTGTTGTTTTCAGCTTCAACTCTGCCAGGTTCAGTTCCTTCAAGATCTTTTCAGTCACAAAACAATCTTGAACCAATTTATCCAGTAGGCCACATGAATAATCTTTCCATAATTCTTCTAAGCTCTTGAGAGAGTCAAACTTTACTGTTATCACTAAACTTCCTTCAGAAACACCCGTGATGACAGCTTTAATTTTTTTTAAGTATTCCATAAACTTATTATGCTCTTCACTGGATTGTGGTGGTGTAGTATCAAGGTAATTCATGGCAATTCTGCACAGGACTTTCTTTTCAAGTGGTTGGATATCTTCTAAGTCTACCTCTGATCGTCTTTTTCTCTTTCTGCGTAGAGCTGTGGATGCCTTTTGACATCCATGATCTGCAAGTTTTATGTGCTCCACATCGAGCTTGATATTTGATTTTCCATCTGTTGATTTCAAGTAAAGTGTCTGTTAAAATTGTACTTCAAATACACTTAAAACAATTAATATCATGTTGAACCTTTGACAAATTGGATGATAGTCTGCCTGCAGGTCCTCATAAATGCAAGTTGGATGCCATTTAAATGTTTTTATTGCTCTCGTATTCTAAATATAATGCATAGAGCTTTTTATAGTTTAGAGTTAGGTGATATAAATAGTTTAGTTGTTAAGAACACTTCTTCTTTTAGTCTTAGAAAATCATTAAATGTTGTTGTATCTTGGCCAAGAACTGAACAGGGTCATTGTTCATTTAAACACAAAGCTATATTACCTAGCTCTTTACCTGACACTTTCAAACAGCTTGAAAACCCTCACTCTTTTAGAAGAAAGTTAAAATTGATTAAGAAAGAGCACAGCTCTGGTGGAATGTTTTTGGCGGCCCATGCTCCAGGAGGAGCGTTGGGCTTAAGTAAGTTGGTAAGACCTACGTTAGGGACATCAGTTTTCAAAAGGAATGCTCAGTAACTTATAATAAGAACCCTGAATTTAGATATTTTTACATTATTTGATTGGTCTTTTTATCTTAAATAATTGTATGATTGTAAATCTTTGTTCTCTATTTAGACTTAGTAGTAGTAGGTCCAAATCAGCTGTATAGTTGCTTATTTCAAGCCTATACTTATGAAAAAAAAATTATGTATGTAGGTATGAATGTATGTATGTTTGCATGTATGTATTATAGTAGAGCTGCTACACCAGACTGTTTCTTAGCCCAAAATCTGAAATCGTACAGCAATCTTCCAGTTGAATAGTACCAGGTGTACAAAACTTTTTAAACATGTCAAAGTTTATATCTACAAGGACAAAAAAAAGAGGGAAAAAGTGTATTGTGACTGAAAGAGGACTATTACTGCTGGTTTGTCCAGATCAAATCATTCACTGACAGAAATAACTCCTGCAATCTACCTGTGCTATCTACCTAAAGTTTAGTTATATACCTGCAATGTAACATTCAGTAAGTGCACTGAACAAAAAGCAAAATTAAAAGTCAGTATACTCACCATATGCAGTTTTCACAACATTTTCAATCAGACCTTTGAACCTCTCGCATTCCTTTCTCCAAGAGTACACCTTCCTGTAGTTCTCTCTGAGCTGTCTGGCTTTGGCTTCTCTCTCTTCTGGACTTTGGCTGGACACCTCACTAATTCTCTGCGCCCATTCAACCGCATCATCATCTGATTCTACAATAACAGAATTTCCACCTTCAACTTCCCGCAAAGCCTCAGCTACTCCAGATTCACCAGAAACAAGGATAGGAGCACCAGAGGAAATGGCCTCCAGTGCAACTAATCCAAATCCTTCAGTGCGTGAAGGGAGAGCAACCAGGTCTGATCGGTGAAACGTTTTTTTCAGTTCATCCTGTTCAGTACAATAACCACGAATGGTTATCTGCTTGCGTTTGATGCATGTCTTCTGAATAAACCATTGCTCTAAGTTTCTATGGCCACCAGGAAGAGAGCCAACAAATGTGAGCTCAAATTTCTTTCCAAGGGAACCTATGGCATTTGCTACTATATCATAACCCTTTAATGTAAGGTCTTCATAGGTTGCTCTGCCGAACATGAAGACGTTGAATTTCTTCATGAACATGTAAGACTTAAAGGCAGTCAACGTCCTCGATAGTACACGTGCAGGATTTCCTGATTCTATCGATTCACACTTATACCCCATTCACACCAAAGCCTAAACATGCTTTAAAGCTGTTTTGTTAAACATGGTTTAACACAACAGCTCCATAGAAGCTGCTCAAATCAATATTTGGTTGACTTCAAATGTGGCACATTGAAAATACAATTTAGCAATTGCTTGAATCTTGTGGAAAATTTAGTTTTTCAGTTCTCTGCTTCTGATTTTTATTCAGTTAAACCTGGTTTAACTAAACAAGTTTTCAGGTGTGAATGGGGTATTAGATAACTGCAACTAAGTAGGATGTACAGCTGCAGTTTACTTGTTCTTGTCCTTATCTAAATGTACCAGTGTTCAGTTTTTCTTAATATGCAGCTCAGTCGACACCTAACATTTAGTTGCATACATGTGGGGTAACATTTCAGTAAATGCACTGAACAAAAAGCAAAATTAAAAGAAGTGGGCTCACCATTTGCAATTTTTACAACATTTTCAATCAGACCTTTGAATCTCTCACATTGTTCTCCCCAAGAGTAAACCTTCCTGTAGTTTTCTCTGAGCTGTCTGGCTTTGGCTTCTCTATCTTCTGGACTTTGGCTCGACACCTCACTAATCCTTCGTGCCCATTCCACAGCATCATCATCAGATTTTACAATAACAGAATCTCCACCGTCAACTTCCTGTAAAGCCTCAGCTACTCCAGATTCACCAGAAACAAGGATAGCAACACCAGAGGAAATGGCCTCCAGTGCAACTAATCCAAATCCTTCAGTGCGTGAAGGGAGGGCAACCAGGTCTGATTGATGAAACATTTTTTTCAGTTCATCCTGTTCAGTACAATAACCACGAATGGTTATCTGCCTGCGTTTGATGCATGTCTTCTGAATAAACCATTGCTCTAACTCTCTATGGCCACCAGGAGGAGAGCCAACAAATGTGAGCTCAAATTTCACTCCAAGGGAACCTATGGCATTTGCTACTATATCATAACCCTTTAATGTAAGGTCTTCATAGGTTGCTCTGCCGAACATGAAGACGTTGAATTTCTTCATGAACATGTAAGACTTAAAGGCTGTCAACGTCCTCGATAGTACACGTGCAGGATTTCCTGATTCTATCGATTCAATGCAAAACTTTTCAACAATTCCAGGGGTTATGATCTTCACTTCCATCTTTGGCAGACTTCTGCTGTACTTCTGCTGTAGACGAGAGCCAATAGCAACAACTGCATCCGCTGCTTCACACAACTCAATTTCCATCTTGTGCTTCTCCTCGTTCTCTTCGATCGTATCTGTCACAGCCGTGGCAGTAGTTTCTTTGAACTTTCCAAGGTCTTCGCAAAAGACGTGTACGAACTGAATCCATTTACATTTTGC